TTGACCTGGACCAGCAACACGGGCCGTGTCACACGACACGGCCGACCGTGTCACACTACTGTATGAAGTTTTTTTCCCCAGGCCTTGCAACACGGGCCGTATCACACAACACGACCGGCCGTGTTGCATCACTGTTTCAACTTTTTTCACCCTTGTCACACCACTGTTTCCTCCATATTTTTTTACCGTTCGTGCCGTTTTTTTTGTGTGTCTCGATTTTTTTGAGTCGTGTGGCTTATGTTTGTATGATGTTTGTATGTGAATATTGTTATGGCCCTTGTTGACCTTTGTTTACAAAAACTATTTTTAAAAGTAAACTCTCGATTTTATCGAGCCATTTTTGACCATGTAAGTCGGATGCCTTGTGCACCGCCATCGACCTAAATCGCATCACTTCAAATATCTTTACAAGCAATAAATCTTGATCCAATGTCAAGTGTTTCTCTTTTCGCATAAAAATACAAAAAAAAACACAATAAAATATATGATTGGAATTATGCACCATGAACTTTAAAGTGGTGAAGAAGGAATGAGAATGGAACCCTCCTACACTCATTCCGAATGTTTCGAATACAAGGCGCTCGACTTGGTTATTCGAGACATTCATCTCTATCCAAAGTCTTTTGTATAATCCTAGTCAAGAACACATTTTCTTCAAAAAAACTAAAAACAACATCAACTCATCAAACTATTTTTGCCTTAGGGCGTCAATCCAAAAAAAAACTTTTTCAAGGTATAAAATCAACCAACAAACAACAATTTCATAAAGCCTCCGAACTACGGAGCTCTGATTCTTCACTTCTTTTAAGTGAGGATACGTAGGCACAAGGGCCACAATCCTTGGCGAGCATTAAAATAAATAAACCAATCCCTCTTTTCCTTAAACAAGCAAACTTTTAGAATAAAACACCCATTCACGCGAAATAACCTAGGAGGTTCCCATCGAGTACGATGGATGCGAGGGGGTGCTAATACATTCCCCTCGCATAACCGACTCCCGAACCCTAAGACTTGGTTGCGATGACCACGCTCTTTTCCCAAAGGTTTTATCGCTATTTCCCTTCCCCCCGTGGGATAAATAAAATCCGGTGGCGACTCTGTGTCATTTTTCGCGTAGCGACACATCCCACGCGCCATTCTCCTTGTCAGGACTTGAGTCTCCCACCATGTCGACCGTACCTAATCCAACTTCTCTTGGGATAACTATCTTCTTAGGGCCATGAATGTCTTCTACCAACTTAACCTCAATATATTGTTATTGATTTCGATGTTGGATGTTTCATTTAGAACCATACAATAGTTTTTCTTTACTAAGATCCTTCCTACATCGAACTTCTACTGCAACCTTGTTTCATTGCCCGAACAGATATAAACTCCTAAATGTGATGTTATGAATTCAAAGAAATTAGGAGACCTTGCACGACACGGGATTCCATAACATCTTAACCACATTAGTCTTTCATTGTTAACATCTTCAGGGTGCCATGTATTGATTTATGAAAACCATTTCCCTAGCCTTTCACTTGCTTCATCCACTAAGGCTTTTGACTCTCCTTCTTCACCTTCCTCCAACAGACATAAGTGTGCTCCCAATTGGGTGATTTTTATTGGAAAATATCCTTCCGTATGAAATGCTTCTTGGATGTTATATGTCATTCCAGGATTTTCTACCACTCCCACATACACCTTAAGAAATCTCGCTAATTCATCCTCCTCTAAGTTGAATTGTAAATGAGAAAATGTTATTTTTTCCCTTAGCTTTAATGCTTGTAAGATGTTTCTTTGGGCCACCTATGTTTTTTTTATGGAAACCTCTATCACCCACCACCCGAGCTTATGATCTTCTTTCTCCTCTTGCATAGTAATGGGGAACCCTCTAAACTCTCCTTATATTTGTTTGTTGACGAGTCACCTTTGGATTTGCACGCATTAAGCTTTTCCCCCTCTGACCCATCCTCCTTGGTGGCTCTTTTTTCCCTTTATAGAACCTAAAGATATTGGCATGGATATTCTATTTATTGATGAAGATATCTAGTTTCACTGCCAGCGTTTTTCATCCTTCATGTTCCTAAATCTCACAAAGTCATGACATTTTTCCTTCTTATCTCTACTTAGAGGAATGGCCACCTCTTCTACCACCCCAAAGTCTTTGAATATGTTGTACATTTCCTTTCACCATGAGAATATGATATTTTGGTGAAAAATTGTTAGATACACATTCTTGATCTTTAAGACTTTTTCCTTTACCCTTCACTGAATCCCATCTAGTTCCAATGACTCCTTTGAATTTCCTTCCTCTTTTAGTCACCTCATTCCAACCATCTTCAAATGTTTAAGACACACGCTTTATTCTACTCGCCATTGACCAAAATAAAAGGTGTTGATCTTGTAGATTAGCAATATGGTTAAACTACTTTGAAATTTGTGGGATATTCTAAGTTTGGTTGATATTTATTTGGGTTTATTTAGAAAAGGTATAGAGGTCAGAGCTTCTCTCTCTACCTTTAGAGCTTAGTGAGCGCTTTATCTTACATATTAACTTGTAACATATTTCATTGCATTCTCTTAAAATATAATTGAAATATGTTATCACACAAAGTCATATTCTCTAATATTGAACAAGTGACTATAAACACAAGAGGGAGAAGATGAATTATGATATTAAAAAAATGGTGTTTAATTATAAAATTTGTTAAACAATAATTTGTGTTAGTATATATCATGAATAGTGATAAAAGAGAAATAGTAAAGATACAAAATATAAACGACTGAAAATAAAGAGACAATAATTAAAAAAATTATAGTAAAATTTATAAAGGTTCGGTCTATCACTTCACCTACTCCTCTTTTTAAGAATTTTTTTCTTTTTATTTAATAAGCCAAATTGCATATTGGAGAACAACAAAAAACAACTCTTCAAAAAAAAAATACAAATCTCAGTTAAGAGCTACTGCTCTCAATGGGGGCAGTGGCACCAATCAACGACCAATTATAAAAAATAATCTTAGTACATAAAACAATATCTTCTACATTAACTTTTATTTTAAAAGTTCCGCTAAAATAATATCTTTAATTCCTCGATTCAAAGAGAACTTTTATCGGGTTGGCTCAAGAACCAATAACAAAATTTTAATTGATTATTTTAAAAAAACAAACAAAAAGTTTTGATAGACTAATGAGACAACAATAACATTGTTGGAGCCATATCAACCCGCCACAAAGTATGACATCCCTAATTAGCCTCAAGTGCCATTAACTTAAGAAAACCAAATTAATCCAAGAAGATCTCAAACCCTAGCCTTCCTCACATTTAGACTCAACATATATTTTTCCAACTACACCGATTAATGATTGAATCTTTATACGAATAGTTAAAGAATTTAAGTTTCTATCACTTTATTTTAATAAAAAATTAATTTTATGATAATTAAAAATGGAAAAATTTTAACTTTTTAAAAAATTTAGCAAAACTGGTAAGGGTCTTCGTTTGCACATATTTTTAGAGGTCTATATTAAATTTTAACTTTATACGAAATATTAATGTCATACTGTTCCCATGCATTAATCTCAACCACTAGTTTATTTTATCCCTCTATTCATTAGTCATTAATCATTGGAAATGATCTAGATCCATTATACACATTCATCCATATTTAAAAGATCAAACATGCATATGTGACAACAGAAGCATGGAGCACCACAGCACCTTTTAAAGAATATATATATATATATATATATATATATATATATATATATATATATATATATATATATATATATATATATATATATATATATATATATATATATATATATATATATGATGCATTAATACCTCATAAAATTAAGCAATTACTTCATAATAAGGGTGAGTACAGTACATGGCCTTACCAATATTGTAAACTCAAATTCTTCCTCAACTTCATTATAAAATTCTCATTGGAAAATAACAAAAACACACCCCTTTACTCATATAAAGATCATATGAAAAGGGTTTAAACTTTACTCAAGAATTACCAGCATTCCATGACTTTTGCTCAAGTAGTTATCCAAGGCCTATATAGCAAATATTTCAGAGTCAGATTCAGAACTTTAAACAATTTAAGAAACTAAAATTAATAACCTATCATAATCCAAATTTAAATAAATGCTCAAAAAACATATACGTACTCAAATTAATGCAAGAATATATGATCAGATATGGTTTGCAGTGTTAGGTGGTTGAAAGATTGTGTTTCTTGTACGGATGTGTAAGATATATCCACAAAACAACAACAAAAAGGACATTCATATTGTAAGAAAAAAATGAGAGATATATAAAAAAATAATAGAATGAGACAATATTTTAAGAAAACATGAGATTTTAGTTACTAGAAAGTCTGACACCAATTTCACAAGATTCATAGAAGAGAATCTAAAATATCCATTTATCCATAGATTTATAAGTTGTAATTCTATAAGGTTGATTTGAGAAAAGACTTAAAATTTGGATCTTTGAAGTTAACTTAGTATATCATTTTAATCTAATTTGGAATGTTTAAATTTATATTATTTAATTAATTAATCACAGAAAACAAACAATTATGAAATAAAGCAAAGATGATTATATTGTCATTTTGCATTTGGAAACGACAAACATAAAATTGATGAAAGAGCATTACCAGCTTGTTCCTCCTGTAATACAAATGTTCATTATTTATATATATAGAGAAAAAATAATTACATGATTAACAAGAAAAATTATTTACTATTACTGCTAGATTATACAAGTTAGGGTTTTGAAGTGTATGAATTAGGGTTTGATATATGAATTGAAATGTATATTACTAGCTAAGAGAAATGTAGATGCAATATATTATGCTTAAATTTCTGAAGAAATTTCAACCATTTAACAGTGAATAATACAAAAGAATTTTTTTTTTTTACTTAATCAATGAAATTTATTGTATTGAAAAGAAGAAGAGAAAAATTAAACTTACCATATATAGTAGTGATGAATTTCACTGCATAGGCAAATTTGAGGTATCACCGTTATGTTTGATTGGAATCCTCTTCTTCTTTTTCTTCTTGTAAGGAATTCCTCTTGCCTTAGCTTGAGAATCTCTCACTTCACGAAGATAGATTCTTATTGAACCACTAGCAAATGGATTAGTCTCTGGTAATCCACCATTTTCTTCATAAGCAGCTCTTAATCTTCCAATAAGTGCATCAAGGCTTCCCCAAGCTTGTTTTAGAGGACAAGTACACGGTCCCGGCGGTTCGGTTTGTCCGAAAAACAAACATCCTTGTAAGTGCACCTTTGTTTTCCCAAATTGATCCAAATATCTTAGAAACTCAAGAACATGATTTGAATTACATTGAGAAAGTGCTACCGGAGGCCTTTGGTTTCTTAAATATTGCCCGAAAGTGTTCCAATCTCTTCGTTTTTGTGACTCGTAACGACTCAGTGGAATCGGTTGCTGCGGCTGTTGTTGCTGCTGATGTTGTTGATGATGATTATCGCCTGCGCTGTTACCATCACCTATTGTTGAAGTAGAAGATCTTGATGATGATCCATCTACTATGTCTTTTCCTTTGTTGGACATATCTTGATGTTAAGATCAAATCATTAAGTATTTCTTTATTATGAAAGGGAAGTTTTATTTTGGTTTGGTAGAGAGTGAGGAGAAGGAAGAGAAGACAATAGAATAGAAGTGGAAGAATTTATTTAAAAACCAAAAAAAAAAAAAAATTTTCAAAAAAAATTTAGGGTATCACATCAAAGGGCTAATGAGGGGACAATGTATGGGACCAATGAAAGTGCTTTAGCCTTTCTTTTTCTTCATTGCCTACATTATTTTCTTGCTTTAATGGTACTATTAGAATTAATCATACTTTATTTATTTTTATCATTGTGCTTCCATCATCAAAGCAATTATTAATGGGTAATTTAGAGTAATTAGCACTATGGTTATTGCTTTTGTGACTATTTAATAACAGTCTAGGTTGTCTAGTGTTTAGAGGATTGTTTGTCACGTATTAGCAAATTTTGTGATTAAATGGTAAAATTAATGGTTTCCGTGACCTATTCTATAATTTATATTCACATGGTTGATAGTATATGGTGTCACATCTCTTTCATATTGTCACCAATTACATAGCTTTTTGAATTAGATTACCTTATGCTATATCTCTTACAAAAGGAAATTAATTAATTAATTAACCTAGATCATCATTCAAGAATTTGTAGCTAATGAGTTTATCAACTATTTCAAGATATTTGAGTTTCAATTATTGTTATTGCTTGTATAATTTTTCAAAGTTGCTTAATCTGAAAAATCCCAAGCATACAAGTGATATCCATTTTGTAGTATTTTAATATTTTTACACTTAATTGTGTTGTGTAATATCACAATACCTATAAATTGCATTATTTTCTATTTTTGGTTAAGTGGTTTTTCATCATATTAACCTAAGTCTTTTTCAACGTATCCATATATTCTCCACTTTGATTAAAGATAAGTTATGATATATATATTCCTTAGCTTCACCTAATTCTATATTTCTGTTTTTATTCAGTATGCATATGATCAATTTAAAAAAAATATTGGATTAATATTTTGATTACTTAAGGTATATATTAATTGATTTGTTTATAAGCTAGTTTCAAATAGCAATCAGATGAAAAAGACACTATTCAAAACAAAATGATCATGCAATATCCTCAAGCTCCACACAATAAACTGTATTGATCAATTAAATTCATATTATATTATATTAAAATATACTATCTTGAAACTGACTTAATCTTCTAATCTATTTTATTTTAATAACTATTGACAAAGGCTAGTTTGATTCTAAAATAAGTTATACATCCATATTTGTATAATTTAAACTATTTATTTTCTTACTTAAATACGTATTATATATAATTTACATCAGTATATTTAATTTAATTTAATTGAAAATTTAAATTAAGGATTAATTTGTTAGAGGTATGTATTTTCATCCTTCAAAGAATGCCCTAGTGACCTTATAAATCCGTACAAAACGCAAATTTCAAGTTTCCAACCCTACAGCTAAATATTATCCCCAAAAAATTATAAAAAACTTTAGCAAAATATTAATTACATAGAGTTCACGATCCAAAATTATTTGATTTTGACTCTTGAAGGAGAAAGGATCGATGTAGACATACATAAACAAAATTTTCAAATAACACAGCAGCCCAAAAAGTATTTTTCACCAAAAAAATAATAGACTAGCTAGTAATCATTAATTAAACACATAATTAAAGTGAAGAAGAATTGTAATGTCCACTAACAAAGACACTAATCCAATATCCTAATAATAATTAACAAGACTAATATTATTTTCATGTAGGATCAGTATATTGTCCATTGATGTATCTTAAGCATAGCTCTACTTTAGAAAAGAATTTAATTGGTACATGATTTGTCACACTTCACTGACACTATCACACAAAATTGCCAATTCATAAACCTAAGAAACAAAATGTGAAGAATACTAAATAATATTTATAAGGTTGGAATGATCTAGAGATGTGGTGTGGTGCTTCATTTTGTTGTTTCCCTCAGGTTTCGGGCATCTTTCCTTCACTTTGGACTTTACATAAAAACGTGTAAACCAACCGTAGCACTTGGGAAATACACTTTTATAACCTGTTTCCATTATTCTAGCAACAAGTCAAATTGTCCAACGTCTAATGTTGTGTACATAAGTCCTTGCTTGCGATCAGGAACCTTCATATATATATATATATATATATATATATATATATATATATATATATATATATATATATATATATATATATATATATATATATATATATATATATATATATATATATATATATATATATATATATATATATATATATATATATATATATATATATATATATATATATATATATATATATATATATATATATATATATAGTTTTAGAGCCAAGGGATTGAAATTGAGATATTTAAGTTGACAAACATTATTAAACATCTTGAGATTGAATTATTTGTGTATTGAGAGAAGAAAAGATTGAGTCACGAATAAGATAGAATTTAAAATATTTTCTTATAAATTTGATCTAATATTTTATAACTTATTTATAACATATTTTTTTTTGTAAATAAGTTAGTTTTACTGTTAGTAGTAATTTATATTCTGATTTTTATTTTATTAGTTAGATCTATTAGATTAGAATAATCTTATACAAAGAGATTAATGTTTATAATTTTGACATATTTAAAATATATTATTAGATTTCAAATATTGTATAACGAATTCTCGTCCGAGAGGGTTTTGGTTCTGCATAAAAAAATTTAGACGTCTTAATTTGGTTTTTTCTCAAAATCCTATCCACCTTAATTGTAGTTTCTTTTTCAAAATCCTAGCCACCTTAATTGTGGTTTCTTTTTCAAAATCCTAGCCGCCTTGATTCTGGTTTTTTTTCAAAACCCTAGTCACCTTAATTGTGATTTTTTTTATAAAAACTTCTGTCACCTTAATTGTTGTTTCTTTTTTGGAATCCTAGCCATCTTAATTACGGTTCTTTTTTTCAAAATCCTAGCCGTCTTAATTCTGATTCTTTTTTTTCAAAGTCTTGCCGCATTAATTTTGGGTTTACGTTTAGAAACATTGTTCACTGCAAGAACATTGTTCATCCGCAAGAATATTATTCATCTAAGACATTGTTCATCATCGAAAACACCATTCATCATTCAAAATATTGTTCATCCACAACATTGTTCACTTAAAAAAAAAATTGAATGTTGCAGGCTTCTTTACGAGTAGTTTGCTGGTTCTTTTATAGTCCATTAAGTCAAACACATTCGGATGACATCCATGAATATGTTCAAATGAGAATTGGTTCAACTCAACAAAGACGAAGTAGAGAGACTGAGATCCCTCCTTAGTAAGTTAGAGAAACCAACAAGTACTTCTATGTTGGTACATTGAGGTACGTTTCCATTTTCACTTCCTTTTGGTAAGGTTCAATTTCCTTTTGGATTTAATGCCTCAAATAAATCCTTTAACCAATATTAGATACTGAACTCTGGAGCCAGTGACCACATGACACATTTACCCACACACTTTTCTACTTATTCACCATGCTCTAGCAATAAAAAATATCCACGGCTGATGGTATCCTTATAACTGTAGCTGGACAATGAGATACCCAAATAAGCTCATTTAATCCTTCGAAATGTTTTTCACATTCCCAAATTGTCTACTAGCTTACTATCCACACAAAAAATCACAATCAACCTGTCATGTAATATTATTGTTTATAACAATGCTAGTGCTTTCCAAGACAAGAATCCAGGGAGGACAATTGGAAATGCTAGAGAATGGAATGGCCTGCATTACTTGGATAACCAAAATATTCCTATAAATTTATTCAGCAACAAAAATCATTTTATTCAAAATCAATTAAATTAATAGAGAAAAAGGTCCTTCTATATCATTGTCTCCTTGATCACCCATCATTTAGATTCCTAAAACAATTATTTCCTTCATTATTTAAAAGTTTAGACGCGGAGAGTCTTTGTTGTGAGGTGCGTCAACTTGCTAAACATAAGTGTGTCTCTTTTCCAGTTAGTAATAAAATAAGTACTTTTTTGTTTTACTTAATTCATACTGATGTTTGGTTCCTTTAAACACGACCTTAATTCTTTCTATTAAAAAAAGGTATTATTCATTAGTCTTATTGTGTTAAAAATCCTCAACAAAATGAGATTGTTGAAAGAAAGAATGGGACCTTGTTAGACCAAACACATGGTATGATATTCTAAAATAAAGTCCCTGAGAAATATTGGGGCGAGGTTGTCTTAACTCCATCATATCTCATTAATCATTTACCCTCTATTGTCCTTGCCTCCAAAAATCATATGGAACTCGTATCCTCTTTTTATTCTGATGTGTCCACCTTAAGTAATCTAATCCCTATAATATTTGGGTGTACATCGTTTTTCCATATCCATAGTGATGGTAGAGGAAAACATGATCCTAGAGTGTTAAAATGTGTCTTTATAGGATACTCTTCTACCCAAAAGGGTTACAAATGTTATCATCCATTATCTCATAAATACTTTGTCTCTCGAGATATCACCTTCCATGAACAAGAAAGTTACTTCCTTCAAACTCATCTTCGGGGGGGGGGGGGGGGGGGGGGGGGGGGGAGGGGGGGGATATAAGTAACGAAGATGAGTCATCTCTACTTCCCGACCTTACTTTCAAAATGGAAGTTGAAATTGAAACTAGTAGTGACAATGTTGACACTAAACTTGATTCTGGGAAAAATAGAAATGTTGAAACTGATGTAAGATTTGAAAAGAAATTAGTATATACAAGAAAGAAAAACATTCATGAATCTATTCATATCTAAGAATCAAATCCGACATTACATGAGGTCACTTTTCCCACCCCTTCAAGCACTAGTGATTCAATTTTTAAATTTTCTCATGAATAAGAAATAGGATCAAACTCAGCACTACCACCACACTATAAGGATTTATATCTTCCAATTGCCTTTAGAAAAGATACCATAAAATGTTCTAAAAATCCATTTTACCCCATATCC